CAGGAAGTGGGCCCGCAAAAATAAAAGTCTTAATTGACTAACTGCGGGTTACACAGGGATAAAGCAAAAGCCTTACAGATGAAATACAGTAGGCTAAAAGTAATCCTTTACAGGGTTTATTTTAGCATCATGGCGCATTGAATATTTACAGCAATGAATGGCATTTTAATGTGCATCCCAGCTGACCTCGGAGCTTTACGCTTTTGAAGCTATTGACGTTCTCCTGGTGTTTCTCAGGCACGTCCATGTAATCTTAATTTATGACAAGTCACATCTACAGTTACCAGCGCAAAATAGTTTGAGACAAACTTGGTGGGGGCTGACATTGAGTTAAATCTGACGCATGAAGGATTATACAGTGGATACGGCTGTACGTTAGCCATATAACAGCACGAAGTCTGTGTTGGTTCATTAGTGTATAATTACAGTTTGGATGTGTATGAAAATTTGTGACACTCTTTTGTGGGCTTTAGCTTGAAGGACAAATTCTGTGCATATTCTTTGAGAACACAAATTTGACACGCTTTATCGGGTTGCAGTTGAGTGAGATGTGATCTTTTTGTAAACACTGGTCCAAGAAATTCCAGTTTGATTTCAATTTCAACTCAGTATGACAATATTGACCAATATTGACGATAAAATGGCTGTGTTAACGTTTATTTGCTATGCTGTAAACAATCTGAAGTAAAAATGCTAATGAATTTTAGCCTATCATGAAATGCCTTTTTTTGTGTGTGATTTAGATGAACTGGCCCTTTAAAAACTCCATCCTAAATTTGACATTGGGTTCCATGCAAATTATCCATCTGAAAAAAGTTTAAAATACCCGTTTTGATAGCGTTTTAAAACACTTTCAGTTTCTCATTGGTATTTTCTTGATTAACTGGACTGTTCAGACATTAACATCCATCGAAAAACTTTTTTATCCTAATTTTGTCCAGTCTTCTCCCAGCTGTAGAAACGGCCAAAATGACAGTGACGAATGAAGCCATTTCAGGCTTCATAAAAATCTGTGTCATCCTCAAAATTGGAGGTACATCAGGGTGGTCTGACAAGTAGGCTTCCAGCAGCACAAACCGCAGGCTGACATCCATCAACAGCAGATGATTGTACAATTTGCTGCTGCAAATCACAGTTAATGGCGCTAGAACATAGAAGTTAAACTCATCCAAAGTTTTTTTTGGACAGACAGACTTTCAGGTATCCTGAGTCCGGAGCGTTGGGTGTCGTTTTTCGTTTTGTCATCTGTGTTTTTTGCTCTACGGGAAGAGTGCTGAAGCGTAACTGTAAGATATTCCTCATGAAAGTTAATTTATAATTGCCGTGTTTATTTACACTGAAGGCCTTGTTCTCGTCTTGAAGTCAGTTTAAAAAAGAAAAAAAAAAACTGTTCATCAGAGATTTTCTTTCCCATCTTACTAACCTAAAGAGCTCTACTATTAACAGCTGGAAAATAACACGCGACCTTCCTAATAAGTAATAAGGATCTTGAGATTTCTCGTAGACCAAAACACTCACAGAAAAAGTGCGCAGTAAGAGGCCCTGACCTACTGCTGCTCCGTGTGCTGACAACATTGTTGGTCGGTTCACTTTGCGATTTGGCCGTGTATTGTGCACAGGCTCGAGTGATGAGTTCATTGCTGGCCAGGTGGTTGTTGTCTCTCCTTCCCGTCTCGGTGACATTCCCACTCGACTATCAGCCGGCCATAAAAGAGACTTCGAAAGCAGAGGCTTATGTTCCCCTGCGGTTTTTCTTAGTATATGCAACTCATCACAGAAGCAGAGTGACAGATTTATGGAGTAATTATAGTAAATAATAAAAGTTCCCTCCAAAACTGTATGACAAGAAGAGAGAGCAGACTTGAAGGAAATGAAATCACGCCCCCAAGCAGCTTGCTGGGTATGTTTTAGGAGAATATCAGAGAGTGACATGTCGGGAGACAAATGAGCATTCTATGCCTGAGAAGATGGGGATGGCGGGGAGAAAATCTCCTGTGAAATATTAACGTGAATAAAAGCTAGAAGCTAAATATCAGAAACACATGTGGGTTATGCAGTGATGGTGAAAAGGCCAACATGCTTGGCACAGGGGTCACTCGTGTTCACAGGAAATGTAACGCATCAAATTTGTTCTGTGAATGCGCAAAGATCTACTCTAGCCTGGACCTATTTTGAGAGAAACCAGAGAGGGTAATGAAAGGGGATATCACTTTTTTTGTCTTTGAAAAAGGGCCAGTCATGCATAAAGTCCAAGGCCACATTTCTTTCCCAGCCCTCCCCTACACACACCCACGTGCACGCAGCCACGCACGCACGCGTACACGTGTTAAGCACGCAAACAGTCTCTTTTAAATACTTCAGGCGTTTGATCCGACTTTTGCATTAAGAAAAAAAAAACAGAAGAAATGGTGACACAACTGTAATTTTCTTCAGCTTAAGATGCTCATTGTGGACTTGGGTAGTGTCAGCTGTGGGATCTAAATAAGATCTGCTTACCAGCTTTATTTCCTTCTCTGTTTTTTTCCATTATACTTTGAACAGTTATTTTGAGAAGCAGAAGGCAGAGTGGCAGAAGGAGCCACATGAGCCCGCCATCCCAGAATCTCTTGCTGCAGCTGCAGCAGCTGCGCAGCAGCTTCAGGTGTCCAGGAAGCAAGACGCCCGGCAGACAGCCACCTTCAGGCAGCAGCCGCCACCCATGAAGGTATCCTCATTTAAAACAGATGCAGCAGAGATCAAAGTGTGTGGATAGACACCCTTTTTTTATATATATATTTTTTTTAAATAAAAAATTTATAAAGTGAATGCTATTTAAAATTTTAACAGAATACATAATCAGCAGATTTTCAATTTATTTATTTTTTTTACTTTAGACTATTTTTTGCATGAAATAAGCTTTCAGTATGAGGGAAACTAGCACAATTAAATACTTGTTTCCCGTGAATAAGAGTCAAATATTTAACTGGAAATTACCAGTTATAAGTGGAACAGGGGGAAAATAATCTATTGACTCAAAATGTTATGCAAAGTGAGTACAATGTGCTTGTAACTTACAAATTATTTGTATTTATTAACTGTGTGCATTATTTGTTAGTTTTGCCTGGTTTAAGTAGCATTTATTTCCAGATGAATTGGATTATGTAAATGGATAAATGTGATCAAAGTGGAATAAAGAGATTTGTCCTCGTCCGTAAACTCACATTTAAACAATCAGACACTGGGTTGATCAATTACCATCTACACATTTATGTAATAAATGTATATTTTATCAAAAAAACATACATCCATTATATAAGGTGCCTGTGTTTCTGCAGTTTGCAACAAAATCTTATAGAGGGCCCAAACCCTCTATAAGGGTTATTATTGTCAAATGCTTCCAATGTTAAGAACATTTGGCCATAAAAAGAATAACAATACAAATCTTTATTTGGACATAAAGCATACACTTTTTTTTCCTTTTTTTCCCCCAAACTTTTACTTGGATGGAGCTGAACTCAACTGGCATATGAAGCACACACACACACTCAAGTACCTCTGCTGACTGTAGCCAAGGGTTTCTACACACACACACGCAGGAACATGGAGAAAATCTGTTTCACCTTTTGCTAGAAAGCTTTAAAATACAAAAGAGGCTGTCACCAAAACTTCATATAGATTCAAATTAATGTCAGCAGATTATTAATAAGAATGGTTTGGTATAAGCTGACAAGAAAATCTAATTAAGGACATTTTTATGCATTATTGCCGTAATAACTGAACCGTAATTCCTTCATTTAACCATAATAATCCAGAATGACAGCACCTCAAAGGAATGCAGGGATTATTAATCCACTAAATACTTTCTGGATAAAAGAAAAAGCTCTGCACAACCTTTAGAGCTGAACAATGACCATCAATAGATTTGTGATAAATGTATATTTTGTCAAAAAAAACATGATGGCAAATGGCCAGCAGATATATTATAAACAACTATGCATATAAGAAATGTTTGATAACAGGTTTGTACAATTTTCTTTTCACAGTGGAGTAAGTGCGGGAGTTTGTCACCAGGATGTGTATTAAATAATCTTTATGAATCCCAACCAGCTGCCTCAAATTAGATATGATAATAGAAATATTTGCATTCAAGTATAAATATACCATCAAGGAGAGATTTAATTTTCTGTGTGCTGATATATTCCAGAGATTTTCATGAAATGTCTCCTGCCTTGTGAGTCTGTGTTCCTGTGACAAAAAAAAAATACCACAGATAACAGAACTACTACACTCCATTAACCCTGCCTTCACACCTCCTTTATTAGTGTGTGGTTTAAGTGGCTGGAATGAGCACAACACTTTGTGCAGGATGACTTGTTGAAGTTAAAGATCAGGGTGATGGCAAGGAGGCCGTCTAACCTCAGCCTTAGAGCACATCACCAAAGACGATATGTAATATTAGCATACCGGGATTGATGGCAAATATGACCAATTATGCTCAGATTAGATAATATATCACTATTAGTTACCAAGGTGCTAATAGCATGTGAGCTAACAACAGCAAACGATGTCTGCTATGCTAATAGCCAGTATGTGCCATTAGCAAAATTTCTCAACGTGAGCTAAATGCAAAAATTGGCATGCTAGCTATCAATCGCAGAGGTTATGTTAAAGTTGGGTGGTATGCTACTGTTTGGTATGATGTTGGTAATAGGCAACTAACAATATTGTTACCTAACAATAGGTATCACTGTCTGCTACAAAATTAGCTTGGCTAATCTGCAAATATTACCATGGCTATCACCAGAAGATTAGCCAGGATTAGTTAACTTTATTACTAATAGTAGCTTATGCTGGCATTGTTAAAATACTTAAATTTGCTAATATGCTAATTTAAGCATATTAGCCAGTATGTCAGCCAACATTAGAGATTAGATTTATGGCCTGAACTCGACTCAAAATTTGGACCGGGTCGAGCCAAAATTATTTACTTAATGATCGGGTCGGGATTGGCCGTCTGTGTTACGTTTAGTTGGCCTACAATACTGTTGGCACAGAGAAAACCAAATGATAATGCACAATGTTAAGTTTTGTTAATCTACAACTTAAGGGTGCAAGAATTTATTGGAGTCGATTTAGTTCATATTCAGAGACTGGTCATCGGCTGATACTTACATGTGAAACTGAGCTTATCCATCAATCTTATCTGTCTTGGAAAAGTAATAAAATTCAGCCACTGTCCTCTTTTGCTCTCCTGTGAGAGAGGTTTGACTGACAAACTGACAGACAGCCCACCAGGGCATGTTTGCACATTTGCAGTAATAATAGTCACCCCGCTGTTGCCAACTCAGCGACGTTCTTGCTATATTTTGCATTATTTAAGACAAAACAAAATTGGTATCGGCCAAAGTCGGAATCAGCTGGTCAGGCTTTTTAAAGATCGGCAATCGGCCATAAAACTACAATCAGTGCAGCCTTACTACTAATTGTCTAAATAGAGAAGTCGGTAGTTTACCCTGTTGAGGAAAGCAAAAAAAGGTGCAAAAGTTTGTTAGACTTTAACAAGCACAGCGCGTTGCACAATAAATGCACACGCAGGCCCGCCCTGCTCCACTCCTATTTATCACACACACCAGATTATTTACACTTGACTCACTGCAGTCACATGCAACAAGATGCCACTTGAAAACATTACATAAAATCTAAAAATGGAAGAAGTTGAACTACTTACTCAAATTATGTTCTAAAAATGATTGCACTAAAATCGTAATTAAAATAATACGTCAGGTTTACTTCGGATGCTGGCCTGTAATTAAAGTCAATTAGTTGGGTCAGATTGGGCTTGGACACAATGTCTACGGGCTCTGGCCAGGTCGGGCTGGATATTTTTAGGCCCGATCTAAACTCTGACATGTACATTCTGCTAGCAGCTGGCTAAAATGCTTAGCTAGCAAGCTAACATTAGCATAAAAGGGGCTTTCACTGTATTAATTTGCAAACTTTCATTAAACCTATACAACCAAGAATCCATGCAATATACTTATTGTTCAATGCACTACTGTCTGTCCATAGCTATGGTCGGCACCAGTTAGTGCTTTCCAACTTCTAAAAATAAAAGTGCAGAAATAAATTGGCTTTTTAAGGCTTGTTTGAGAGCACCCAAAATCAACAAAAAAATACATACGACATCTGCTTCCCAGGTTTAATGATTTAAAAGTGGAGCTTGGTGGAAGATAATGATGGGTAGGTTTTGATAATTCTACTCATAGTTGGTGATGTACCAATCTCCTGCAACCTTACATCAATTTGGATCCACTCAAGCACAGTCTTTATTTTTTTTAATAATCTGTTCCAATTTAGGTTGGCATGTTTGTTGGTAAAATATGTTCAAAGTGGGCTGTATTTGGTTACTCATTTACAGAAGATGTTTGTTTTCTATCTTTTTTATATCAAACTAATTCCTTTCAAGCCTGCATACTAAACACCGGGCAGTTGGCTCTTGTGCTTTGCTTTAATTGTGTTTTTTTGGGGAGGGCTGACCATGTGTTGTAACTGTGAAGGACCTAGAGAGTTGTTCAGATTTGGGACATTGAAAACACACAATTTCCCAATGCGCCTGTGTGACAGAAAATTTGGGAAGTGCAGCTGTAATCCGAACACAGATGGAACACATCGATTCTAATATTGTTAGCAGCAGGGCGTCGCAGCACTTTTCAGTTACCTTTTGATCTTGGAGCTCTATCTCCTGGTTGTGATCTGTGAACAAAAACTAGTAAACAACCTAAGTGCTGCCTTTACTTTAAATGAACAGGGCTTTGTTTAGGTCAGTGTAGTCATAAGTTTCTGTTGCTCATCTTTACAGATGTTCTCACATCCCGTTAATGGGTAAAACCATAACTTATTCGCGCGGCACCTTTTTATATAGGAAGTAAAGTAAGTATAGTTTCAGTGGAACAGTGCTTTGTAAAAGTATTCACATGCCTTAAACTTCTCCCCCTCACATTTTGTCTTGTTACAACCAAATCCATTTCTTATTTGCCACCCCGAGTTAATACTTTGCACAATCAGCTTTCGCTGCAATTAAAGTTACATGTTTTTAGGGGGTTTTCTGCTATTCCTCTTTCAATCAGATTGGGCGTAGGAAAGGATCTGAAATTCAATTTTCCACAAGCCTCTTAATTAGATACATCAGAACTTTGTTGGGTCGTTCTAACCATTGTACAGTCTATTGACTAATTAGGAAACTGATGGCAATTTGTTACAATGGTTTGATTTAGAAACTCTCTTTGTAGAAGAATGAATGAAAATGGATGCCACACTTTTCAGATTTTTTTATCAGTGAAGATGCTGAAAGCCTTATATCATTCTCCTCCCACAGTTATGCACTGCTTTGTGTAGGTCTATCGAATTAAATCACTGCCAAGCACATTGATATTTATGGTCGTAACATAAAATGTAAAAAGTGTAAGGAGTGTGACTGCTGCCTGGCACCGCAGCAATCGAATCAGTCCAACCAAAATCATACTAAACTTACTGGATTTATTACATAAATCGGTTTAGGGAAATTTTACACGACTGAATTATTTCCTTACTTCTCCATGTCAGAACAAAAGCAGCACTCAATAAGTCTTGAATAAAGTGTTTGACTGGACCTCTTCTCTGCAGGCATGCTTGTCCTGCCATCAGCAGATCCACCGCAACGCTCCCATATGTCCGCTGTGCAAGGCCAAGAGCCGCTCCCGCAACCCAAAGAAGCCGAAGAGGAAACCAGATGAGTAGATCCTTCTTCCAACTTCAACTTCTCGGTCGGGTTTAAACCGCTCCAATGCACTGATCTTGGATCAGCCAGATTTATTCCCTCCACATGACTGACATAAAAAAAAAAAAAAAAGAAAAGAAAAAAAAGCTGTGAGCTTGAGGACGATTTCAACACTCTCTCTGTTTCAGTAAATTGTTTCAGTATTGTCAGCGCTTAATTGTGAATTCAGTGATGTCATTCAAGTCGTCTGTGTTTTCATTCGTTTGGATGTGTTTACTCTATGTAAATGTGTGACTTCCACCGTAGTGTACTAGCTCCCTGAATAGTGTGTTGCAATAATGCAAAGTGAACTCATCCAAATACTGTTGCCATTGTTGCTCCTGTTTGCTTTTAATCATTCTTCTGCAGTGCATGCCATGACTATTGTGTAGGTTTTGTGACAATGTAAAATGACATGGTTTCTCTAAGTTAAATACAGTTACACTATTGTTTTATGTTTACAGTCAAAATGAAAGAGGGAAAAAAACATGAACAAAAAAGCTAGTATGTTTAACTTTAATACTGCGAAAAGGAAATAAATTGATGTTTTGTACTAAGTTTGTGCCTTGTCTCTTTCTTGTGTGCAAAGAACAATTACTAGAGTTAAACATCTTGTAGTTTGGTGTTGCAGTTTCTAAACATTACTCAAAATGATACATTGTAAATTGCGACATACCACACATTTTTAGGTCTGATTGGACCATTTTAATACATGAATATGCTTTGATAATGCTTTACATTAAAGCTCTAGCTGTATGTTTTTGGAGCCCCATTTAAAGGCGTTTTTCCGCCTTTCATAGATTTCATCTAAGATTGCCTTTTTCGTTTAATCCATATGCCTTCTCATCAACTCCAGTCACCTTTGCTGAAGACCATCATCTCCCACGGTGGCGTTGATGCATTTAGGACGACTTTCTTTGTTCCCTAAGAAACTCTTGATGCTTTCACATAACAACTGTTTTGGGATTAAGCTTCACACAGGTGGAATCTGTCACAATGAGGTGACTTCACAATACATTGTCTTGTGGTGTCACAATAAAACTGGTTGAGGGATTTTTCATTTGAAGGAACTGTTAAAAACACACACACACACTCTCTCTCTCTCTCTCTCTTCAAAATTATGCTTTTTGTCGTAATATTCAGCCAAACAAAAAAAGTTTAGAGGGTATCATTACTTTTATGGAGCCCTATAAACAATGCTAGCAAATGGATGGACTTAGCCTTTGTTTGAAGATAAAGAAGGAGGAATATGTTTGACTCCAGCGCATCATTGTGCCTTTCACTCTGTTAATATGCTGTCATGTCTGCAGCTATCTGTCTGAAAAAGGACAGCGAGGATTTGTTAAATGAGTTCCTGTTGCGTTTTTGTCAGGGTAACCCCTCATTTCATCTGTTGCCAGGGCAACTCCACGTTCTTTAGTGGTTGCTAAGGCAACCCTAGGTTGCTGTGACCGCATATTTTCACCTAAGAAGTTCCTCCCAAATCCAGCGAGGGCCGGAACTCTGCACCAACTCCCACATGAAGAGTCCAATGTAGCAGAGAGGAGACATTTAAACGGCAACAATTAAGAAAGTATAACCTGTCTGCCAAACTAATCTGTCCTTAAGTCACTCGCTCAAGTTTGTGTTTAGTCTGTCCTTCAGTGTTTGGAAGTGCAGTTGTGTCTTTTTTCCTCCAGATAAAAGTTGCCAAGGCCAGTTAGGGCTGTTTGTGCTCACAGACCCTGCAGACACTGGGACGGGGGAGCTCCGCCCGCCTCCCCCAGCCTGTCAGCACAAAGACATAAACAGCAGAAATAAGGCCTTCTATCCTCATAAAAGCTACAAAGCTGAACCACAGAAAGATGGCCTCTCACATGTCCATTCCCCTTGGACCGAACAGGGACAGGTGGGACATCCGGACCTTGACGCAGATTAAAGAAGGGATGGGTTTCTCCTTCAGTCTGTCCAGTCAGCTGGAGGCAGGTTGGAGAAAGCAGCTAGCCTTTCAGTGTTGATACCATAACTTGAAATTATTCATCTGAGACGCCTCCTCATCTATTCAAAAGAGCAAAGAGAATTGCTCTGGTTTCAGACACATAAAGTCAAACTGCAGCAGCAGCTTTTAAAGGGCCTCGTCTTCATCCCTGGGTTCCGATATATGCCTGGGATGAATGGATTTCTGCTTCAACTTTTGGACAATTGCATGCAGAAGATAACATTTATATCCCTAAGGATATAAATGATCACAATTAAATAAGAATACAAATTAAACTTCTGACAGTTTTTTATGCTTCTCTTTTGTATTGTTAGTAATCCAACCTTTGCAGAAAGTGCCATTCATTCTGCACAGCTGTCCAGTCAAAAACACATACTCATCTAAGAGTTAACATATTTCCTGTGAATTAGGCAGTTTAATGTTTTTTAAGCCCTTTATTAGAATAGAGTAAAAACACAAAAACTCTAAGGGATCGACTGAGGCAGCCATTAAAGATCTCATTTGGCTTCTTTTGGCGGCAACTCCGTTCACTTGGAAAACAGCTTTCCTCTATTTGCTACAGTTACACTTCCTGCTCCAGGTGCGCCTCTACCGCCACCTGGCGGTTCATGAGGGAACCGGAAACAGCGCACCAGTTTTACTTTCCAAACAGCTTTGTTTAGCTTTTTTTTTATGCTGACATTGCACTGCCAGAAACACGCAACAATCCCGAATAAACGACCAGACGCCGACATTTGAAGTGCTCTTGGAAGGAGGGACGAAACTGTTAAGTCTACACCCATAAAACCAAAAATAAATCCAGGTGACTTATATATAGTTCTGGTCATAAAAGGGTTAGCGAACTATGCCATTGGGGTTTTGATCTTAATGCTCCGACACGAATAGTCTGAAAATGATTTGAGGCGTTGCCTGGAACTTGTTTGTTTTTGTGTAATTTATGAATCTTAGTGCACATTACAGAATACGTCCTGACTGCTGAGCTCCATTACAGAACACTTTAAGGTTTTATTTGGAATGACAGATAGATTTCACTAACTTGGAGTGAAAATGGAAAGTAAACATACCTTTAGGGAAAATACAGATTTCTTCTACAAGAAGTGCTCTCAACACCCGTCATTGCTATGCAAGCCAAAACATTCCGGAGATTGGGGGGGGGGAGAAAAAGTCCAGTAGAAAGAATTTCATCCTTAGACATTATGCAGTAAAGTATGTTAGTAGTCTAGCAGCAAGTAGAAATGCTAGGTAATAAAGAACACAGAGGTTCATTTCAAAGGCTTGGACTTAAAATGCAGCAGATTTTCGCTCCCCACATGTATTTACTTCCCTCTAAGCCAGTGTTTTTCAACCTTTTTTGAGCCAAGGTACACTTTTTTAATTGAAAAAAAAAATCACGAGGCACACCACCAACCAAAAATGTAAACCAAGATACTCTGTAACCACCTATACTACATATATAGTCATTCTTATCAAAGTGTC